ACCTCAAAGTGCACAAGCTTCAAACTTCAGCGTTGGCTGCGATTTTGACGCTGAAATCGCGTTCGGTGTGAACGCACCATAAATGTAAATAAAGTCTAATTATAACAATTATTAATTATTTTGCATCTAAAAATCATATTTTATTCTTCTCATCTGTTTTTCACCACTCAGCAGCCAAATAAATTCCTGTTTTGTTATAAGTTTATCATTCAGTTTTTAATACAGCTGCAAAATAAATTGTTAAAATATATTGATCTCCTTCATTTATTTTAAGTCAGTGCATTATAAAAGATTAACGCTTCATGTTATGGAAAGACCCTCAATACAACAGAAAACTCAGGTTTTTAAGAAAATGGCTGCTTATCAATGAATCATTAGTTGATTGATTAGATCAGTCAACTTTAGTTGAATTCATTAATCAATAACTTGCATCACTAAACTCAAGTGATAAAAAACGCAGTTGATTAAAACGTGCTTACAATATGATTTCTTCAAGCAAACTACCACTTTCTATCTGTCAACATTTCTATTTGTTTGAGGAACTCTCAGAAAACGTTAAATCTGCAGCAAAGGTTAGAAATATTCAGTTTTCCTCCAGGTTTTTTTTTTTTTTTGACAGACTCAAAGTACAATACTTGTTCTCACTCTCATCAGGAGAAATATTTACCAGAAACCTTTCAATGAGGAAGAAATGCAAGTTTGTGAAATCACAGATCCGATCCTGAGACAATCAGCTGCACTGAACAGTTTTTAACACTGTACAGRTTCTGTTACACCATGACTCAGTATCCCATCACAGCACAAAGTTTCAGCTGAAAATACAATGCGAGTGACTTACAGATCGAAAAGCATCCAAGCTTTCAGACAATACATGATCTTGTTTCTGCATTTTGGAGTTTTACGTTTCAGCTCTTTTGTACGAGTTGAAATGAGAAGCTCCAGGTGTGACAAACASTCACCGAACTCTACAAAAATATAAAACGTACAGAGTAGAAGGCAGAGATTCAGGTCATAGTCTCCCTATTATTACTGAACAAATGGGACGGAGGATAGTTTCCACAAACATAAATTATGGCAATATAATATATAGATCATTGTACTGAGGAACAAAACACTGAAGGAGGTGTGGAAACAAAGCAGTCTGAAGTTCAACTAAATCATGTTAAAATGATTTGAAATTATGTTATTGAAGTCATAAAAGGAACACATTGTGAAAAAATAAATTAAATTATAATTTGAAATTACAGACTTGAAATCAGCTCAAATACTTTTGCAACTTTAGCTTCAAAAACCCTGAAGAAAACCTAAATGGACCTGCACTGAAGTTCAAGTCTTGCTGAGATTGTGACTCCTGTATTATTCTGATGAATGAGCAATTAGCCAATTAACACTTGTATCTACTGTGCAGTGTTTTAATAGACACACAGTTAAAAATTCATTTTTTATTAAAGACAATAATATTGTGAGTCATTAGTTTAACATCTATCTGTGGCTGAACAGTTGAAACCTTTATAAATAAAACAGTTTTATAAAGATTTGATTATTCATATGAAACGGTGCTGTGTTCTACTGTGAGCCTGAATATGAAACAAATGTGCGTGCMTTTTTTTTACTATAATTTTTGCAGATTTCTTTTGGCTACAACCACAACAAATTTCAACTYAATGTTGCTAAAAATGACTAAGTTAGATAGATAGATTAGACCTTTATTGTCATTGTACAGAGCTCAATGAAATTACAGTTCAGAACACCCATTCAGAAGAACAGAACATAAACATAAGAGAACAGGTGCCCTGGTCATGCTGCCACTGATCCTGCACAAACACAAAGCAAGGATCATCTTCATGAAGATATAATGAGGAGGTGCAACCCTTAACAGAAAATTTTTTGTCAAAACTGTCAAGTTATGGTGGATTTTACATGTTGGCCATGGCAGCCTTCTTGGATTTTTGATTTGGATTCAGTCGATGATGGGGATTGTTCTCAGCTGCCAYCACAACAAATTTCAGCCCAATATAACCTGAAATGGCTGAGTTATTGGAGTTTAATTAGCTATTTAGCATTCAAAATTTGTTAAAGAATGTTCTCAGCTACCACTGTACCAATTCCAAGCTATGCCAGTCATGCTGAATTATATATAGCCTTTTTGTAAATTAGCTTTAGCAGTTGTGATTAGCATTCAGTATGTGTTGGGTTAGCTCTCAGCTACTGCCCCACCAAATATCAGCTCCATGTGTTATAAAATGATCTGGGTGCCATTTACGATTACATCAACTCCTTCTGTCTCCTCTGAACAAAGAGGCTAATCTGCCCAGTAACAGTGGAGACAGCCTCAGCCAATCAGAAGGCCAGACTGTAATGACTTTATAGAGCGGAGCAAATCATATCACAACTTTCTGCACAATCTGTTGTGTTTTCTTATCTGGAAGTATTTGTTTAGCCTGGGTGACCCAGGCTGCAGATTGGAGGTGAATGCTGCAGGGTTTTACAGACAAATGAATAAACCTGAGTGAGTAAGTGTTTCAGCATTCCTGACCCCACTCTCTACTCCGTTACAAAACAAGGCATTCACTGGAAACCTGTTTAATATTCAGCAAGTTGCACACAAACACAGAGATGTGTGTTTGTTACTTCAGAGGACGATGCTCTGACAAACTAACTCATAACTTTCCTTACAGTGAAACCAAGTCTAAATATGTTAAGTTAATGATTTACATCAGAAATAATGTCGTTATTTCTAATAAAACATACCCACCTATTCACACATTAAGAAAAAAACCTGCACTCTTCCTTAAAGCAAGCTAGTTTAAAAGGGATCCACGACTGTAAAAAATACTGTAGGCTGTTTAGTTTCATAAATTTTTAAAAATATATTTTAACACGGACGGAGCATTTACTCACAAAGTATTCTGGGTAAATGATGACGTGGATAGATCCTCGGTGTGAGCGAGCTATATCCACCCTGAAGGTTGATCTTAGACAATATCTGACGATCAACTCTTTTAAATGAAACCAGAGAGCGTTGACAGAGAGGAGAAGGTAGAAAAGACTCCGCCTGTAACTGAAAATATGGATGGAGGACAACAGAGCTGCTTCATGGAAGAAGAACATCAGCTTAGCCTGTTAGCCTTTGCGTTAGCGCCGACGCTATATTGCCTTATAAGTATTAGCTCAGCACTAGTGTGACAAATTAACAAGCTAAACTGAGGTCCTCCATCCATATTTTCAATTGCAGGCCAAGTTATTTTTGTGTTCCCCTCTCTGTCATGTGGATGAAGGACCTCAGTGACAAGAGGAGAATGTGTAGCGCTGAGCTAATACCAATATATGGTGATAGCATCGGGGCTAATGCTAAAGCTAACAGGCTAAGCTGAGGTTGTTCTTCCATGAAGCAGCTCTGTTGTCCTCCATCTATATTTTCAGTTACAGGCTGTCATTTCTACCTTCTCCTCTCTGTCAACGCTCTCTGGTTTCATTTAAAAGAGCCGATCATCAGATATTGTCCAAGATTAACCTTCAAGGTGGATATAGCTCACTAGCAGCCTCACACTGAGGACCTATCCACGTCATCATTTACCCAGAATGCTTTGTGTGTAAATAAAATAGCCCCGTTCGTGTAATATATTTTTAACAAGTTTAAAAATTATAAAAACTAAAACAGCCTATAGTATTTTTACAGTCTTTATTTTACAATTAAAATATATATATTTATCAAGTAAAGTCTAATGTTACAACTAATCATGGATCCATTCAAGAATAAAGTGATTAAATGAAAAAAATATATTGTGTTATTGTTTGCACACCTCAAACTGTGGCCAGTTCATGCTCATGCCCGGTCCATGGGTGTTCCTCCACCATCTGAGGTCTTCAGCTTCGTTGGCAGCTTGGATGGTCTGACCCAGGTCCCGGTACAGGTTTTTGAAGCTGGAGGAAAGGCTGCTGTTAGTTATCACACTCWTCTGTTCATTATCTCAACTATATCTCGTTTTGTTTGACCTAATTTCATTAAACATTTTGCTTGTTTTATCATCACATGAAAACTCAGTGAAAAAAAAAATACTGTTTCTGTGCTTCTAAATCTTTGCTTTTTTTTTTTTTGAACAAACTAGTTAATTTGAGCCCGCGCCTCCACTGTTAGCACTAACTGCAGATACGACTCATTTTCAAGACAGACATGAGTGTGATAATTATATTTGGGTCAACGACGGACTCTAAAAGTTGATGCTGGTAGGTCATAAAGTCTGGTTTTAGATTGAGATGGTTATTGGAGGCCTGAGGCCTATTGCACGAATCTAGGATAAGGGATTAACCTGGGATTTTGGTGTAAACCTGAATTAATTAAGCCTTGAATCGGTTGCATGACATAGGAAGCACTTCGTAACAAATGCTCTGAAACTAAACTGGTCCTGACTAGGTTTAAAGTGAACCTTATTTAATCTGTTAGTGTTTTTGAGCAGTAGAGTCATTTTACTGCAGAAAAATGTTCCTCTAACCAAGTTTTAAAGTCTTATATCAGCTAAAAAGTATTTTTGATTTTGTTTTTAGACCGATATACTAAACAAGATCAGAATATGTTGGATTATTAATCTTGTTAATCTGAAAAGTTTTTTTTTACTTCAAGAAGTCTGACCAAGTGCAACTGTCAAACTGCAGATTATTAGTTGTTATTAATTTGGGATAAGGATCTAATCTAGTATTTTTTTCTTATTTTTAGAAGCCTACTTTTTGCAGTGTCTGATCAGAAATCAGTTCTTAAAACATTTATTAAATTTATTCTTTTTTCTTTGCTTTAAAATATTACAGAGTAAATATATTTATTTAACTTATTTATCAGTTTATCCATGAAAAAGAATAATAAAAAATGTCTTAACCTCAGCTTCACCTGTAAATAATATGCCATGTAACATCATGGTAATGGGGTAGCAGCTGGTCACGCAGAYATGTTATCTGGAGGCAAGACCGCCACATTTCACTGCAGTTTTACGCAGCCTACCTGGCCCATGTAGGCTACAGCCACTGAACTGAGACACAGACTTCACCCCTGGTGAATCAAAACTAATGTAACTGTATACAACTGTCTTCACATAACTTTAGTAAAGTTTCTTCTTGAAGCGACTTATTGGTCAATTTGTTTATTATTTTGTCTTGGACTTTACCATGGGAACACTGGTCTGTTTAAACAAAACCAGAGGTCAGCTGTTAATGGGCAACAGCTTGAGTTTTCCATTAACCCTTATACATACAGAACAGGATCCCACATGTATCGGACCCATTACAGCTCTGCATACCTTTGCTCCGAGTCATGGAGAATGAATGATTTAATCATCTCTTTTCTGTCTAAAACTCGTGTCTGTTCTGATACCTTTCTTTGGCAGACAGGTCGAGGTGCGTGTGAATGTCCAGCATGATGTCTTTAAAGAAACGCAGTCTCTGTTGCTCAGCCTCCTGAGTGAGGTCAAACACCTGCTCCATGTCCTCCATGTAGCGAGGGTTGCAACGGTTCAGCTCCTCCAGGGCCTTTCTGTAGCGATCCTCCGCCTGTYGCACAAACAAAAACACTTACTGAGATTAAGAAAACATTAAAAAAAAGAAAAGAAAAACATTCAACAATAAATTCCCTGTACTTTTATGGCATGCCTATCTTAACCTAGAAAACTCACAAGCTTTTATTATTTATTTCTTATTTTAGAAACAAAAACAGTGAATGTCAGTGTTTCAAATGTAGTGAAGTTTGCAAAATATTCAAAATAAAATATACCAACTACACTGCAATTCAAATTATGTAAATATTTTTCTGATTTTCCTAAACAGTCGATTTAAATGAAACCAGTTTTAAGTCATCAACTGTTAGAGTACAATGGAAATGGAGTGTGTCCTTTCCCACTCAAATAGATTATTCACAAGTGTTACCCTGGATTTACACTACATGTGTCTCTGCTCCGCTGCGCTGCGCAGTTCGCAGCTGTTCGTTTGCAACCCAGTCTATACAGCCTCCGCTCCACTCTGCTCCAGTGCAACACACAGAGGAGGAAGCGAGTGCAAGAAGGAGATCACGTGATAAATCCACAGATAAAAGTGGAAGTCGGAGCAAAAAATACTTAATTCTGTGAAAGACAAACTCCAAACACAGTGGAAAACATTCATATAAAAGCTTTTGATATCTATGGTTGAAACTGTATCACTGTTGTCTTTTTGAAACTTCAAAATAAATGTCAAAATATTTCAAAATAAAATCCACATGCATCTGGTGTGTACATGCTTCATGCTACATCATCTGCTTCCCAAACAGAACAATACATTCTGACAACATTTCTGTAGAAATATACCCATATTTTAATCAATATAGCTGGGATTTTGACAAAATTATTCCACCTTATGGTGTCTTATTTTGAAAATATGGATGTTGTGCTTGCTCCTTTTCCTGTTGGTGTGACGTTTGTAGATTGACTCCGGAGCAGCTCCGGCATCTGGCAAAAATAGGATCGGTTCTAATTTTCACGATTCGTCATCCGCTCACCACCGCACTACGTCGCCGTGCGGAGCCAGTGTAAATACTCTCGTTTAGAGTGGTTCTGTATTTGCTGCAAAGGTCGGACCATAGTGGAGCTGAGACGCATGTAGTGTAAATTGGGGGGTAAAGCATTTCAGACAACTACCAGTTCTGTCAGACTTCCCAGCAAATTCACCACAAGGTCTGATCATGTAATGGTGAGAGGAAGTGTCTGCTCAGGGTCTACAGGCCTCAGTTAGCAGGTTCAAGATTACAGTCCATGACAGAAGAATGAGGAAAATTACTTATTGGAAGAGGTTGCAGGAGAGCTCCTTATCTCTGTAAATAGAAGCAGGACTTACATTTGTGAAGTTGCACCAAAATGAACCACATAACTTTTGGGGCAATTTTCTTTGGACAGATGAGACCAAAGCAGAGACGTTTACACATAACGTACAGCATCTATCCATCCATCCATCCATCCATCCATCCATCCATCGTCTTCACCCACTTTTCCTTTTGGTGTCGTGGGGAAGCTGGTGCCAATCACCAGCAGTCACTATGTGAGAGGATTCTCACACTCTGGACAGGTCACAGGTCCACCACAGGGTCAGTTACCCATAATGCACAGCAGCATGTTAAGAGAAAACCCAAACACCTCATACCAACTGTAAGCACAGAGGTGGATGATTGGTGATTTGGGCTAATTCTGCTGCTACAGAACCTGGGTGCCTTGCAGTCACTGAGTCCACCATGAACTCCTCTGTGAACCTGAAGTATTTTACAATAAATATGTGGCCATCGACAASAGAACAGTAACAAGACAACAATCCCAAACACAAATCTACAACAGAACAGCTAGAAAAGAAAATAATCCAGGTGCTGTGAGGAGGCCAGTGTCTGCAAACATCAAAGAGCTGAAGCTGGAAAGAAGAGTGGGACAGAATTCCTCAACAACCTCGTGTGAGAGACAGATAAGTCAGAAAACCACTGCTGAGTTATTACTGCTAAAGAAGGTTTTACAAGCTGCTGAATCTGCATTTTTACACCCCCACCCCCACTCTGTTTTTTATTTGTTTTGTTCAATAAGGATTTATTTGTTGAAAATAGTTGTTTGTGTGTTTACAGTTAAAATTAGATTTAAATAAATTTAAAACCTGGTAAAGATCAGATTTTTTGTCTCATTTAAAACGTAAAACCCAAGAACTAAAAGTGTACTTTTATTTCATCATATACGATTTGTTTGTTGTAAATTTTTTGGCTGGACCTGTTTCCATTGTGCCCAGTTTTATTTAAACCTCTGCCAGATACTTCTGACCAGATGAAAATGTAACCAGATCGCTCGTGTTAGCAGACATTAACAGGCGAACCAAGGAACAAGTTTCATTTAATGTTTGCAGACATGCGTTTAAACATCAGAGTCAGAGCAAACAAGGCAAAAGTAACAGTGATGGAAAGAGAAACTCTAAAGCTGCAGAGCAAAGGAGCACATCAGAACATTGGCCCTGCTGAAATTTAAAATTCAAGAAAATTACACCCAAAGGCTCAGAGGGCCTCAGTTACTCTAAACAGCTCAACAACAAAACAAGTCTTTTACCTTTAAAATTTATTTATTTTGTTGCATTTAATTTAGAATGGATTTAAATCTATTTTTATATTCAATTATTAAAAAAAGGCACGAATGAAGTATCAGTTCTGCTTTAAGTTGTGGGAGTATCTACTGTATGAACAGCTAAAACACTGGATCAAGATAATAAAGCCTTCCTGTGACAGAATTAAAAACTCCACACAGTGAAAACGTAGCTGTTGCCTCTTATTCAAAACAAGTCACTTCAACATACATGGTTTTACCTTTCAGATCAGAAATAGGATTTCTGTTTTACAACTTGATTTGACAGGCTTGCTTTGTATTATGTTTTACAATATGGATGATCATAATAGAATCTGACTTTGCACTCTCAGATTACGGTTATTTTTTTGATTAATTTACTCCAGAGGCTAATAAAGTGAAGAAACATTTTTACAATGACTCCTTAAAGAGTGTCTCAGGTCTTCATGGATTAAGAGGCTTTAAGTGATGCAGTCTGTGTTTTTACCTTTGCTGTAGGTGTGATGGTTTGAACTGACTGCAGTCTGAAAAAACTCAAGTGTTATTTTCATGCAATTTTATATTAGAATTCATTTCAATCTGTCAGCAATTTTGCATCAAAGTGACATTTATATAGAAAAAACTGAGATGCCTGAAACAAGTTAAAAACTTTTAAATGAGCTTTAATGAGCTAAAATAACAAATTCTCCTTTATTTTGATCATTTTCATGCAAAACTATTGTGTTTAAAAGCTGAAGTGCTGCCACACTAACATCACAGGACAGCCAACAACTAGAAAAAAAAAAACTAAGTTTGGAAATACCTAATCAAACTTTTAATGAGCTAAGATACCAAGTTTCACTTTCTTATTTTTACCATTTTCTTATAAATCTATTTTGTTTAAAAGCTGAAGTGCTGCCACTGACAGAGACTGGACTGATCCTGAAATCCTCAGGAGGTTTTGGTTGATCCTGGTCTTTTCTGGTGAAAGGTTTCTGACCAGCAGCATCACAGGAAACAAGTCCAGTCATGTTTTAAAATGTGAAAACATGAACATGCGCACAAACACACACAAACACCCTTGTATTTGCATCAAACTGAGGACTTTGTATTGACTTCCATTCATTTTTGTAACTGTATTTATGCCTAACCCAGACATTTTCCCTAAAACTAACCATTACTGGTCTATAGTTAACTCTAACCTGAACCTGAACTTAATTCACTCTATACCTCTAAACCTAATTAGTAAAGCACAGCAGAGCTGCAAACAAAGAGGTCCTCACTTCACATCAAAGGCCTCGCTTTGATAGTAACTATGGTACAAATGGTCCTCACTTTGTAGACAAAACAAGTACACACACATACACTTGTTCTTGAACCCGTGGGGACTTTCCATTGACTTCCATTCATGTTTTTTAGACTTTATAGCCTAACCCTGACCATATACTCTAAAATTAACCTCACAGGTACCAACCTGACCCTAAAACTAACCTAAACATTGGTCCTAAACCTAACCTCTCACCTGTAATTTGCATTTGGACCCATGGGGACCACTGCCAGGTCCCCACGATTCACTTCGGTCCCCATGAGGCTGCTTTTTTTTGGTAAAAAATTCCCCACATTGTAGGAAACACACACACACGCAGCTCAGTAGGAGTGAAGCTTCTCTGTGTGTTTTTACAGGTTTTGTACCTTCTCAGCTTCCTGGTTGCAGCGTTCCACTCGGGTTGTGTATTTGCGGACTTCCTCCTGCGACTTGGACGTGTCAGCCTTGGCGTGCGTTTCCCTGGTAACGGCCGTCCACTCCTCCTTCCTGGCCTGGTGGTAGCTTTTCTTACTGGACTCCACCTTGACACATAAACACACAAACACATCAGGGGAGCGCTAACAACTTGATTTTTAACTAAGTTTGGAAATACCCAATGGTCAGTTTCAATCAGTCGTTTGTTTGGGTCAGCACCACCCCAGACCCCTCAAGTGACTCTCACCTCTTTCAGTTTGCGGACCCAGGGTTTCTGAGCTTTTCTGAAGCCGTCCTCTGCATCTTTCGTCTCCTTGAAGCCTCCCATCATCTGCTTGTGGAAAGACTCTTTCTGCCAGCTGCGAATCTTCTTGCTGTCCTCTCCRGCCAGCCACTCCCGCAGCTCCATGTGCAGCTCGCTGAGGCGGTCAGCTGCTTGCATGAAGGCGTGCCACGACTTCTCCAGGGTCCCATACTGAGGTCCTGATGAGGAGCAGAGAGAACAGAGTCAGACCTGTACCATCAACTTAAACTAGCCATTGGTTTTTAAGATGTCAAAACAAGTGTGCATTGCCATTGCAGCATGCCTTTGACTGCAGCAGTGAACTTGCAGAATGAACTGTGACCAAGTTGAAATGTGGTTTCTAGTCAAGTACCAACTTGTGCCTGTCAAGTCAGCAGGTGTCTGTAATGAGGGTAATTGTGTGACATGTAGTTTGAAAAGATGTTTTTGTTAAAGTTGCAGTAGCTGGGATTTGAACGCTGATCTCCCACATGAAAGCCCAAGGTGTTCAGCATGAGACCACTGGAGCTGTAGCAAAGTGCACTCCAATGGGTGTTTTCTATGTGTGCAGAAAGAGGCAACATTGCCAATGACGATCGTTTGCACAAAACTGACACATATTACAACAATACAGCAATATTCTATAAGAAGTTGATGCTTATAAGGCAGTATTATAGTAAAACATCAAAATACAAACATATTAGTATTGTAATCACTGAACTACGGAGATTAAATATTAATATTAAACTATGGTGCAGTACCAGGTTGAGTAGATACAGCAGGGGGCAGTATTGGACCAATACAAGGTTCCATTGACACCCATTATATGATTTTTGGAATAAAGTTTAAACATTAATATTTCTAAAACTTTAAGTTGTACAGGCACCAAAATGCATAGCCATCATTTAGCAAAGGAGCTTTACATACACAAATTACAATGGCAGCTCTAGGACAGGAGGAGAAGCGTGCCAAAGTGGAAGATGACTTGGATGAAAAATGAAAGACAATAGTGTGCATTGCATTGGCAATGCACTGAAAAAAAAATGTACCAAAGAAACCTGCTGGTTCTTTCTATGAAATACATATTTTTAACTGGATCTTAAACCACCTCTTTACCAGCAGTTTGTCAGACAATGTTTCCCATTACTTACATTTTTTAAAAAGTACAGAGGATAAGAGCTCAACAGACTGAAAACAGAATTTCAGCTCCAGCAAAGACCTATTAGATAAAAACTTATATAGAAGGAGAAGGCTCTCCTCAGTTCCTGTGATTTTTTTTCTTTTACATTTAAATACTGAGACTTTCAATTATAGAAACAATTGTTGTGTCTTATTCGAGAAAAAAAAGGTGTGGTCCAACTCATCTGAACAAAAAATAGTCATGAACAATTTTAGATGTATTTTTTTCAAATTGTAATTAAAAAGGTTAGAAAATGAGACCTTCAGTTAAATGTAAAAAAGTTTTAAAAAGTGATGCTCCATTCTTAAAATAAACATTATTTGTGAACGTTACAGACCCTTTTCAACGATGCCCCTCCACCTCTTGGCCCAGTCACTCAGCTGAACAGCGTAGCTCTTCTCTATTTTAGCTCTCTCCTGGAAGCAGCTGACAAGCTCATTACACAGACGGTGGCCGTCATCAATCCGCTTCACCGTCCTTCTGTAGTTCCCTGGCTGAGAAACACACAAGAACAAAATGAAAGAGGAAACAAAGTTTTAAAACTTTTTAAAAAGCTAACATCTAACTGTGAGGTATTTAAACAGGTCCCGTCCCTCACACAGTGACCCCCGCGACACAAAGGAAAAAGAAGGTAATGATAAYGGATGGGTGAGATTTTTTACACACATTCAGTGTGTTAAGTGTTGTTTTGTGTGTTGATTGTGTTGCTTCTAACTTTTAAACTAACATTTATTTTCTTAATACTGTGGTAAAAAATGTGTTTGTATAAACAGGACTGGGAAATGTGACCTAAAAATAAAAATTCAGAACACCCAATTATAAAAAGGCTCAAACATGTTATTAAAAAAAAAAACAATCAGGATTTTTTCTTTTAATCCTGTTTGTAATTACAGCACCAGTGCGCTTCATGAGTTTAACCAGTGTTTTTATTTTAGTTAGCCGTATTAAGCATCGCTGAATTTTATTAAATGTGCAACACAAATTTACAACTCATAGGATCCCAAAACCTGAATAAGAAACACAAATTATACACACTAAAGAACTGAACTAAGACCCAGTTGTTTTGAGACAGGCAGTATATGTTTGTGTTTACCGTACCTCCCAGAAGCTGTCAGAGCTGCTGAGGTTGCTGAGGTCTCCGTTAGAAGACATGTTCGGGTCGGCCTTACAGCACAGAATGATGGCGGCTGCAGAAAAGACTGCGGATAATAAGAGAAATAAAAGTTGAAGTTATGGTAAAAACCATTTATGCAGAATATGTTGGTGTAAATTCTCAGTTTTCCAGGACATGGCAATCCTAGAAGTACATACATTTAATTACATACATTTATGCAAAAAGTGAATTTATGGATACTTCCAAGCTACTAAACTGCATGTTTCTCTTTGCATTACTAGATGACATCTAAAAATAAACATTGTACTATTGACTCAATCACACATATCACTTTGAATTTACCTTTTAGAATAAGTATCATTTTATGCTATACAATACATGATAAGTCCATAAAATGGATATCGATGCTTTATTTTCAAGATGCAGCTGTAAGTATTTTGCTGGGGTTTGTTATGAAAGACATTGTTTTGTTTAGTTAGAATTTTGTTTTTTCTTTGCAAATCTTTGCAAATGTTACTGTACATGTTAGTGGGGATGGATAAAAAACACACACAAGTGGGCCCATTGCTCTCTGGTCTTCATTCAAACCTTCTCGTCCCTCGGATGAAGGACACAAGGTTAGAAACACTCAGTGTTCTGAGCTTCTCAGGATCCATAAATGTGTCTCCAAGAATTATTTTACTTAGACCACTCAGGGCCAGGCAGTGGTCTAAGTAGTGCAAAAAGGTCTCTTCAATGCCACAGGCATCACACAGACCATTGTCATGGAGTYCCATCACCATTTTGTGGCAGTTGAGCAGATTGTGCCCAGTTAGGACTCCAACCAGTGTACTTAGTTTTCCTTGATAGGGAGATGAGATGAGAGCTTTCCAAAACCTTAGATTTGGGCCATTAATCAGTTTCCGTGCCTGTCTACAGTCCGTCAGCTCCCTCCAGCAGACTGAGTGTTGACGTCTTATCCAGGCCTGTAGGGCAGTCCTACAGACTGTTGTTGAGATACCTACAACAGGCTCTGGTCCTTTGAAGTGAGCCTGACTGCCAGCTTTTGCGAGGTAGTCAGCTCTCTTGTTACCATAAATGCCAGTATGTCCTGGTACCCTTTTAACAATAACACTGTTATCTCTCCCCAGTTGGTTGACTGCTTCGGCACACTCCCAGGCCAGTAATGACGTAAAGTGTGGCCCTTGGAGAGCTCTAATAGCAGCTTGGCCATCTGTTAGGATGAATATTTCCTTCTGTGTACACTGAAGGTCTTTGAGAGATGCCACACACTGGTGGATTGACTTGAAATACAGTTGCAAAATAACCTAGTGGGTATTTATGCTCTCTCTCACTATGGTTGTGCAGAATCAGCACCCCTGCACCTACTGACCCCTTTATAAAAAGGGATCCGTCTGTAAAACAGTAGAAATGATTGGGAGACATGTTCGTCGTAGAGAGGTTACTCCAGGCAGATCTATCTTTAATCTCTGTCTTAAAACTTGGCTCAAATTGTATTTTTTGACCATTCTGTCTCCAGGTCCTGCAGTTACTTTAACAGTCACAGATTCTAGTGTGCTGTGAGTCAGGTTTTTCTACCTACTGTACCTATCAAAAACATGTACAATAAGTTGCCTGCAGGCCCAGGCCACCCTTGCAAAAGAGATCTGTGATCTCATTGGGATTTCCCTGGTTAAATATCAATAAAAAATCTAATATTTGCTGTATATTACAGAAGTATTCATCCTGCAGCAGTCTGCACACAAACAGAAAAATCAATATATATTTATGTATTTTTAAAGAACATCAGGATTTTATCACCATTATAAAAAACACAAACGTGTGTACAGTAAGCTCCCTTATACTAGCTTAAAACAAGAAGTTTTATCTGTCTCAACATTTATTGAGAAGTTTTTAAATCCAGAATAAGTTACAAAGTTAATGATTGATTTCTATTAGTGGTGTCCCGATGCCAGCATTTACACAAGTACTTGTACAAAATGCCCCAGTATCAGTATCAATACTCCACTGAATGTTATACAATTTACATTTCAAATGAAAGGTTTGTCATGTTTAAGAAATTTATTCAAGGAAAGGGACACTTCGTTGTACTCGGTTTCACAGAAACTGGTAACGAGACAAATTTCTTCATAGTTTAAATTAAGCAGTTGTTCAATATGATGTGAAGGAAGGTTTTTTTTTTTATATTAACGATGCTGTTCTGAGATTAATATGAGGCTGAAAGTTCACGATGACCTGATGCGCGCAGGCACGCACGCACACACATCCTATGACGACCTCCCTCCCTGGACAAAACCTTGAGTCGAGGCCAGAAAGATTTGAGGCAGACACAACAACCTGGGAGGAAAACAAGCAACCAGTCCAGGTCCAGCTGTTGGTTCTGATCTTCTGCTCACATTAAATAAGAAGCCAGCTGATCAGGAATTCTCATCTGAGYCGAAGTATTTGGTTTTTGAACTGTGTTGCTACATAAACGAAATCTGCAAACTTTAAGTTGCAGAAGAATATATAGTTATAAAATATCTACTCACAACAAGTCAAAGAAAAAACTACAAAGTTGTCAAATTTAGGAAGCAAAGTGAGTGCATCAAATTTCCATTTACTCCCAATATCTAAACATAAAGAACTTAAAATTCTGATTTTCTATAGACGACCCATTTAGACCATCTGTGAGCTCAACTCTCCATTCAGAGCTGTTATTTGTGTTCTAAACTGAGGTTTCTGACAGTCACAACTTCAAAGAACCCATGCTCAAGAAATGCAAGTCATTCTTTTACGTGTTTTTATAATGACCAAATCTATCAAACATGTCACTATATTTTACTATTTTACCAGAGGGGTCATCCTTAACTACCATTTTAAGCTCGAATTTCAGAGGAGAAACTTTCCTAGCATGAATAATCTGTAATGTAACTGTACAATCATTGGGGAAACAAGTATTCAAAAGTATTGAAACATCAAGTCAAACTCTTGTTTTTGTTGTCCACTGAAGACATTTGGGTTTAGGGCATGAGACAAGATTTCAGAATGTCAGCTTTTATTTCCTGATATTTACATGTTTGAATAAAAACAAACACAAGACACATGAATAAAATGGGGGGCCTTGAATATCAAGGCTAATCAGTCCTTAGATAGTAACTGAAGCACCTTGTCTAATCTGAACTGTTATAGGAGTAGAGAACAAGCTTTGACAAATTCTGAATGCTAAATTAAAATTCAACGAGGCCACCAGAGATAATTTGAAACTGCAAGAACTTGGTCATTTTAGGACATGTTAGAATGAAATTTGGTGTGGGGGTAGCCGAGGACAAATCATCACAAAATCCAATTTAAAAATCCGAGATGGCCACCATAGCCAAGCAGAATTGACCATAACTCAGCCATTTTTATCCATACTGAGGTGAAAATTGGCACGGTGGTTGACGACCGTGATCTTCAACAAATGGTAAATACAAACCTCAATTTAAATTGGATGCCACCTGGCAAGCCCTTTCATAGTTTCTCCAGGAACTATTCTAGTTCTTCTAGAATACTGTGTTCTACAACACCAACTTTGACCAGACTATGAGAAGTTCCTGGCTATTGTTCCTCCTCACAGAGTTTCATGATGTTCCAGCCTGTAAATAACATGTTGACTCTCAGTTTATCAGTGCTAGGAGAAGACTGGAGTTAAATTAGATGTAGCATTGAGATGTAACCTTGGTGAAATCTGTGAGGAACAAAAAGGCCAACGAGCATAAATAAACTCCAGCTTTTTATGAGTTCCACAACAAAGCAGCCAACGGCAGAAAAGAGAACACTCATTGAACACATATTAAGATCAGTGAACCAAAAAAAATATTTAACCAGTAAATAAAGATGTGTGCATGGATGGGTGTGCCGTGTCTGAGATGACGACATACAAAACGATCCAAATGCTAACATTAGGAAGCACACATACCTCAGACAAGGCAGCCAATTCATACAGAGTGAAACAAAAAGGAATGTGTGCATCTTTAACAGGAGAGTGGCAGGTATGCTTACAGCAACAGACACATCTGCCATCAACATGTTGGAACATGAGGTACCTACATCACCGAGCTTCACTAATTACTGCTCCTTCAGAGGTTTAACATGTTTACTGCCAGAAGAGGCCATGACAAAGAGCCCCATGCCCCCAGTCCTGGGGACAAACAGCTTTTTCTGTTTTCTATTTCTTTTACCTTCAGGTCTGTCAGTTGAACCTGGACATGTTTGGTATCAATAGAAACCTAAGGATCTTGGCTAAAAACTCATGGAAACTATTTTTACATTCACCAAAMACAGTTCAAATGTCAAGCAGTTGAATCAGAAAGCAAACAAATTGTACAAAATGGCATCGTTCCAAATATGTAAACACATTACAACAAATCTGTAAAAAAAACAAAACATTTTTAACATTATTTTTTAAAGCAAGTCAAAGTAGATACCTAAATATGTTGTAGTGTGTTGAAAGATTTTTTCCACTTGATTTTAAGTTAATATGGTCCAACTGAAGTCGAAAATAATTTCTCATTATTTTTTATAATATATATGGTGTCAAATAAATGTTTGGATAATTCCTCAAAAGGATGAACATTCAATATTAAGTATTTTAAGGCAGATAAGATAAAAATAAATAACTTTTGGATGTAAAAACTTTAACATTTATTAATGGTACAATCATGGTCTGTCCTGTGCAGAATGACAAAAGGCAAAATTATTTTTTTACTAAAACCTCTGTAAATTTGCTCCAGTTCATTTTAGCTGCATGAATCTTTGCACAGGTAATGTCCAAGTGGATTTATGGTTTCCAGGAGTTTTAGCCTGATTCATTATGGTTTAAAATAGGTTAAATACTGTCTATGCAAAAAATTCAGGAGAGAGTGGAAAAAATTAAAAAGTGATGTTCCACACTCAATATCTCTAAAACCACAGCAGCTGTTTTAATACTTACACTTCTAATAAAATCTCCCAAGTGTTAGCTTTATTTTGATACCAAGATTATTTAAGTAGAGTTTATAAATGCGGAGATACACTCAGTTACATTTCAGCATGGTATTTAGAGCAAAACCTTCAAGAAAACCC